CCTTACACCACTGGCTCATTGACTCCGGCGTGGGCTCTTTGATGACCTGGAAATGGTGCTCATCACTCTGCGTGTCTGTATATCAGATCCCATGGGCTTTTCTCGTCTGTCTCTATCTCCATCTGGTCCTCTGATCCCATGCCCGAGAGCGTCTGCATGGTCTCCACGTGCTTCAGGGCTCGTGCCATCTGCTCCATGTTGCGTCTCATCCGGAACATCTCCCTCCGGTACTCCTCAACCTTCTCCGACTCTGCCTTGTGCATCTCCTGGCTGGCTGGAGCCCTTGCCCTTGGTGTTGTCCATGATCGGCTTCTTCGGCCCGCCCAGCGGCTTGCCCTCCTTGATCAGCTCCTTGACATCCGCGACCGCCATCTCGAATTGCACTGATGGCACACCACGTAGCTCTGGAATTTGTTGCCTCCACCCTTGAGTTGATGAGGCGGGTGCTGGCATTCCACTGGCTTGACCACGGGCGGTGTCTTGCTCTTCATGGGTGGCAGCTCCTCGGCGTTCCTGATGACGGCGAATGCTCCGCATAAGCCCATCCCAATTGACGCACGGTATCCCTGCACCTCCTCCAACGGCCCAATTGACAGCCATTCTGATACCCATCCGTGAAGGGCCACAAAGTCGCTCAGGTCCAGGTAGCGGTCTAGAAGCACCCTCCAGTTCCGGCGCGCTCTCCTTGGGTTGATGTGAACCAGCACCTCCTCGCTCACCTTTGCCTTGACTTGGGTCGGAGTGAGGTCTGCCTCCTTGATCTTGCCCACCAAGGTAAGCGGCATTGCTGGAAAAGGCGGGTTTTGAATCGGGTGCGTCAACCTTTCTCATTGACGAGGCTGGTATCGAAGCCGAAGCAGCGGCACCCGGTAGTCGAAACTGCTTTGCATGATAACCGCTACCTTTGGCCTCACTGCCCACCGTGAATTTTCCAGGGCCAAAGTTCAATACATCAACCGTCACATGCCCACTTGGCAGCTGTTGCATGTTCGGCAAATCGATGATGGCCTCAAGCTGGCGAAGGAGCTTTATGGGAACCAAGAGGGGTACCACCTCCTTGACGACAGTAGTCTCCAATATCCCATGAGCCCCATCAAGTCCCAAAGGCAGAGCGACTATCCCAAGTGTTTGCGCGCGTCCTCCAACTCCCTGTGCTCTTCCCTGCCGGTTTGTCCAGACAGGCTGCAAGCCGAAGCCTGCTAAGGCTTCCTGTAAACTCTTCAGCGCCTGCTCTCCGATGAGACCATCTTGAGCGGCTGTATCAACTACTCCATGATGGGGCGCAGTTGAGGTACCACAAATTTCTTCTTCCTGGGATTGCTCCTCCACAATGTCCCCAAAACCATTGTGACCTCTCTCCCACACTGCACTCCCTGTCTGGGAAAAACTGCCTCTCACTCTCAGACTCTGAGTGGTCCCCGTCCACTCAGCCTGACAAGCATCGGACCGTCCCTCTGTTCCTCCCAAGAAACAGTAACTGGTCCCAACGCTCCCCTTTTTCCCTTCGCCTTCTACGTGCGGCTCCAGGTTGCAAAACCAGGTCTTGTTCGTAGCGCTCGTTGCTGTGGTATTCCTGGAGGCCACCGAAGAGGCTGACGATGTGGCTGCAAAGCTTCTGGCATTTTCTTGCCCTCGTTGGTCTGGTTGGGCTGCCCGACATTCACGAGCCCAATGCCCCACGGTCCCACATCGCGCGCACCTTGTTCTCAACTTCAGCCGTTCGATGTGGGTCCTGTTCTTGCCCTTGCCCTTGCCAGCCCCTTTTTCAGGAGCCCCGCGTCCAAAGCCTCCAGGATGGCGGTAGTACTGTCTGCCCTTCTGCTGGGCCTTGATCGCACCTCGGATTTCTTGTAGGTCGCCAAGGCCTCCATGACGTCGCCTTCCTCATACATCTCTTGCAAGTCGCCTTCTTGAAGATAGACGTAGTCCTCCTCGCTTCCCCCATCATCCGCCGCATCTTCAAACTGGTTCCCCGGGTGTTCCTCAAGGCCCTCGTACTCAGCAAACACGTCCACGGTGTTCTTCGACTTGGTCTTGTCCTCCTTTAGAACCTTGTCGAGCTTCCGAAGGGCCCCAATGATGCGGTCGTAGTCAAACTTGTTCTCGGTTCAGGTGGAAAGCTTAAGCTCTTGTCCTTCTGTGAGTCCGGCCTGCCGGTAGTAGATATAGCCCCGCGCCTCACTGGGAAGTTTCACTCCTTCCTGGATGAGCTTGGTATGGGCCTGGTCCATCCGGATGATGTAGTCCTGGAAGTCCTCTTTCGCCGACCAGCGTAGATAGCCCCTTCCAGGGCTCGCGCCAAGCTCACCTCCAAGTGGGGCTTGTACTGCTCCCTGAGAGCCTTCATGATGTTCTCCATGCCGCTTTCGCAGGCCAGCTCGTCGAAGGTCAGACTGTCCACGATAGCCCGGGCGCTTCCGCTAAGGCTCCTCATGAGGCGAACCCCTTTCTTCTTGTCCTCCGTCTCCGTCTCGAAGCACCAAAGCTTCACGTCCCTCTCGTAACGGGGGAACTCCACGGCGAACTGCCGTCCCACATCGGTGGAGGTTAGGAGACCTTCTGCGTCTCCTCCGTCTTCTCAGAGGCACCGGCCATGGCGACCTAACCCCGGTTTCAGAACCGAGGCTCCGCTACCACTGAGCAACTTTTGCTCAGCGCATCGCGGGGCTCCTTGCCCACTCCCAAGCCAGAATGGCTATTCGAAAAGCACTGCACATGACGATTCAGGGGTGGGGGCCTCTGGTTTGTTTCACAGCTGCGATCAAAGTCAAAAGTGTATGCCTGTGTCTGTGTGTGTGTGTGGGCTGTTGATGTTTTTTGTTCAACCATTTGCCAAAATTGCCCCTTTACTTTACAAAACAGAGGTTTCTCAAGGTTTCTTTACGGAGGACGGTGTCCCTTGCGACCTGCCTCCTCCTCCTCGCCCGCCCCACCGCGCGTCCCTGGCAAAGGCTCTCGGTCCACATACCCCCATCAAACGAGATCGCAGCAAGCCTCCAACTGCCCTCATGTTGTTGACTTTTGCAAATTCACCAAGTGAGCGGGCGACCCATGCAACATGGAACAAGGCAATGGGTCCTGCGCCACGCAACTCTCCTCCCCCAAACGATCTCACCCCTAATCCATGGCGTGGATTGGTGGCTGTGGGATTGGAAATTACGTTGCTTGTGAAACCTCCAAACCACGACCAAAACTAAGTACATATCGCCGTGCAACCTGCCGGTGGAACGCAAAAAGCCTTTCTGTCCAATAGATACCTTGTTCAAACTTAGTTGTTTCTTGTGTTTGGCTGCGAGCGACAACCCTAGCCCGGCGCCCCGGAATGTTGCCTTCCATGACTGCCGGAGAGACGCGCATGGCCATGACAGCGGGGCGGCCGCGCCTTCGCCCTAAAACTGGCAAGGGAAAAGTGGGCGCTGTGGCTATGTCCAGTTTGAATGGTTCACTTGGCAACGTTTCTTCTCTGATGTTTGGCGCTTGATCCGACCAAGTCGAAGAGTGGAACGGGCTATGGCTGGGGGCCTGGACGGGCTGGCCCCGTCTAAGGGGGTTCACCATTGTTTACACACATTCAAGGGCCACCTCCCCAGCCCCAAACGGCTTCCGTATCGGGAAAGTCAGGTCAAATCGAATGAAATTAAATAAAATCAAACCAAATCAAATCAAAGCAATCAATCAACCAATCAATCAACCAATCAATCAACCAACCAATCAACCAATCAAATCAACCAATCAAATCAACCAATCAATCAACCAATCAACCAATCAAATCAACCAATCAAATCAACCAATCAAATCAACCAATCAACCAATCAACCAATCAACCAATCAACCAATCAACCAATCAACCAATCAACCAATCAACCAATCAACCACCAACCAACCAACCAACCAATCAATCAATCAACCAACCAACCAACCAACCAATCAATCCATCAACCAATGAAACCAACCAATCAGCCAAACAATTCATCACCCACCTGCGCACCCAACCAGCCAAGCGATCAACCAACCAGCCAGCAAGCCAACCAACCAACCAAGCAACCAACCAACTAACCAACCAAGCAATCAAACCGACCAACCTGCCCACCTACCTACCAACCTACCTACTGCCTACCTGCCTGCCTTTACCTTACCCCTTCCAACGCACCAACCTACCAACCAGCCAACAACCAAACAATCCATCCAGTCAGTTGATACTCTTGGCTTCATTCGGACTTGCGCTTCAAGCAAGGCGCGGGACCATTCAAAAGGAAACAGCGAACAAAAGAAGCGTCAACAGGCAAGAGCTTGGTTGCCTGAGCATCACCTCCCCGCTTAGGGAACCGAAAATTTACCAAAGAAAGAAAAACTGAAAATAAGATTGGCCGCAGCGGAGCGCCCAGTTTTGAACCAGATGGATCGTTTCGGTGCCTCTGGATCTTTATTGCTCCCCGCTCACTTGAGCCAAAACACAATGTCAGTCAACACTGTAGCGTATTGGAATACAACTCAACACAAACCAAACACCACTCAAATCACGTGGCGCGCTTTCTGAAGGAATGCAAAACATGAAAAACAAGAAGAATCTGCAGGGCAGAGCTTGACTACATCAGAAGCACCCCCAACCCATCACTTCTGGGGAAATGTCCAAACAAAGGAGAACAAGATCACACACACACACCCACAAACACCCTAAGGTAAAGGCCCCTACAGTTGGGCCCTGGCCTTGTACCCAACAACCCAATGCTGCATTCAACTGACCTGCCGGGACGATCCACTTTTGGAAGCATTGCGGCTTTTCGTCAAGCTACGTACCAGAATCTATCCTCGAACAAACAAGTCAGTCCGATTCTATGCGGGCTGCCTTAAGCAGCTTCTACCAAGGTTAGTCTGCGGAAAAAGCGAGCGCCACCTGTGGGCTCGTGGGGCGGGCAATCACGAATGGGTATGTCTCAAAATCGGGGGGCCCATCGAAAGAGTTGGTTTCTTTCGGAGTCCTTTGAAGCTACTGAAATCGGGGGGTACCCCCGGAAAAAAGCACACCCGTGCGAAGAGCCATCGCCCGTCTAAACAACGCTAGCTCACTCACAGTGCTCTTAGACCTCTCTGTTGCGGATCTCATTGCCAGGACTTGGCTTTTCCATCGCCTTCTCCAGCACGTCGTTGGATCCTCGGCTTCAGCTGGCTCACTGCAAGCGCAGCCAACTAAGCGGTTTGGCACGCAGTTTCCATTCCAGACAGCGCGACAGCCACTCCAATAAATGTCCAGATTTGCTGGACTCAAAGTCACTGGGTCAGAAAAGCAAGTAACACTCACCAATTTGTCCGCCCTGAATGCTTTCTCAAGTGTCAAGTTGGGCCCGCACGTAGCCTGCTGTTTGATTAACCTGTCATAGGCGAAGCAAGCCCTGAGCAGACCCTGAGCAAATGTTGCCCAGCAAGAAACTCAAGAATCGCAAGCTGCTAAGTCTCCAAAATGAGGTTCTTTTGGATCTCCTGGTTTCCGTTTCACAGAAAAAAATATCGTGCAACCTCCACGATCAGCAAGGCAAGCCATCATGGTTCAACTTGCAGACAAGCTGCCATGGAGTTTGACCTCGGATAACAGCATGAAGAGCCACACACAAAAAGCAGAGCACCTGTAAAGTTGCGGGTGGGGATTGGGCCCTTGTGGTGCAATTCTAGTTGGGAACCAACCAAAATGGAATTTTGAATGGAATCGCACCCAGACCCTGCGACAGAATGGCGTATGCCCCCTTCACGCAAATTATGTTTGGAGTCCCCCGCACAAGAAGCTAAGCAATGCTTCGTTGCTGTATCCGGGCCCTTTTTCAATTTAGAGACTCACGTTTGCAAACTAAAGCCATGGTTGCAGCAAACAAAAAAGCAAGCCCTTGGGCCGTCTGATGTCTTGATTGGTATCCCATTCCCAGTTGGAAACGCGGCTGCCCCGGAAAAAAACACACACTCACAGCACTGTGCCCACAAGGGAGAATAACATGGGTCACGCGCGGATTTGAAAACTACGGGGCTTAGATTCCAAAAACTAGGCCCGAGGGGGATTCCAAAACTAGGGGGTAGTGGGATTCCAAAACTAGGAACCTGCCATTCCAAAACTGCTCCCAAAACTGAAATTCGATAGGCTACGGGGATGCTCAGTCGTCGCAATGTAACAGAATAGCAACGGAAATGTGACGGGAAAGTGACGGCGGAAGTGACGGGACAGTGACGGGAGTGAGTGCCGGTAAAGTGACGGGGAGGTGACGAGGAAGTGACAAGTGACGGGAAAGTGACGGGGAGGTGACAAGGAAGTGAAGGGAAAGTGACAGGGAAGTTACGGGAAAGTGGCAGGGAAATGACGGGGAAGTGACGAGGAAAGGCACGGGGAAGAGTCGGGGAAAGTGACGGGGAAAAGACGTGAAAGTGACGGTGAAGTGACAATAAATAGTGACCGGAAAATAACGGGAAAGTGACGGGGGAAGTGACGGGAGTGTGACTTGGAAGGCGACGAGGAAATGACGGGAAAGCGCCGGTAAAGTGACAGGGAGGTGACGAGGATGTGACGGGAAAGTGACGGGGAGGTGACGAGGAAGTGACGGGAAAGTGACGGGGAAGCGACGGGAAAGTGGCGGGGAAATGGCGGGGAAGCGACAAAAAGTGACGGGGAAAGTGACGGGGAAGTGACAGAAAAGCGACGGGAAAGTGCCGGGAAAGTGACAGGGAAGTGACGAGAAGGTGACGGGGGGAAGTGACTGCAGGAAGTGACAAGGAGGTGACGGGGAAAGTGACAGGGCAGTGATGGGGAAAGTGACGGGGAAAGTGACGGGGAAAAGTGTGACGGGGAAGTGTGACGGGGAAGTGACGTAGTGACTGGGAAGTGACGTAGTGACTGGGAAGTGACGGGAATGTGACGGGGGTGACGGGAAAGTGACGAAGACAGTGACGAAAAAATGACGGAGAAGTGATGGGGAGGTGACGGGAATGTGACGGGAAAGTGAACGGGGAAGTGATGGGGAAACGACGGGGATGTGATGGGCAAGTGACGGGCATGTGACAGGGAAGTCACAGGCAAGTCACGGGGATGTGACGGGAATGCCACTTTATAACGGGAAGTAGCTGGGATGTGACGGGAATGTGACAGGGGTGCGACGGGGATGTGACAGGAATGTGATGGGGATGTGACGGGAATGTGATGGGGATGTGACGGGAATGTGACGGCAATGCGGGGATGTGACGGGCATGTGATACGGGGATGTGACGGGCATGTGACGGATGCGGGGATGTGACGGGGGCGATGGGGATGTGACGAAGATGTGAAGAGGATGTGATGGGGATGTGACGGGAAAGTCATAGGAATGTGACGGGGGTTTGACGGGGATGCGACGGGGAGGTGATATCACGAAGTAAAGGGAATGTGATGGGGACGTGACGGGAAGCTGACGGGAATGGTGACGAGGATGTGGCGGGAATGTGAATGTGACGGGGAAGTGTCGGGAATGCGACTATTCTTGGACGGTTGACAAGGCTTTGACGGGAAAGACCAGCAAGCGGGGCCATTGCGACCTTTCTTGAAGAAAAAGGTTGAAATTCACTTAGCGCGTGGAATCGGCGGAAAACTGATGGACAAATGACAAGGATGCAACGGGGTATACGGAGGAAAAGTAATGGGAAGGTGATGGGCATGTGAAGGGGATGTGCCCCGGGGTGTGACAGGGATGTGACGGGGATGCGACGGGGAAGTGACGGAGAAGTGACGGGGAAGTGACGGGGAAGTGATGGGGAAGTTATACGGGGAAGTGACGGACAAGTGACGGGGAAGAGACGGGGAACCAATGGAAAGGTGACAGGAAAGTGACGGAAAAGTGACAGGAATCTGACGGGGAAGTGACAGGAAGTGACGGGGAGGCGACGGGAAAGGACGGGAAAGTCAGGGGAAAGTGCCGGAAAAGTAAAGGGGAACGCGACGGGGAAGACGGGGAAGTGACGGGAAAGTAACGGGAAAGTGACGGGGGTGAGGGAAAGTGAGTGGGGGATGGGACAGTGACGAAAAAGTGACGGGGAAGTGATGGGAAAGTGATGGGGATGACCGTAACGGGGAAGTGTGACGGGGAAGTGACGGGAAGATGATGGGGAAGTGACGGGGAAGCAATGGGGAAGTGATGGGGAAGACGGGAAAGTGACTGGGAAGTGCCAGGAATGTGTCGTTGAGTTCGCGCCCGACAGCCATGGGCCATTTGTACCGCCACATTCCCGCCGGTTTCCCGCCACATCCCCGACACATTCCCACCACGCTCCGGCCGCATCCCGCCACGTTCCCGCCACATGCCTGCCACGTTCCCCCCGCATTCCCGGCCGATCCATTCCTGCCACGTGTGTTGAAGCAAACCTGGGGGGGATTTGAAGGCTACCCTGTAATTGTTCTGCGCCTCTGCAATTTCAATCGCAGCTTGCGCGTGCACGCCCCAGACTTTGTCTGCCAAAATCGTGGCGTTCATTTGTGAGCTTCAAATGAACTCATTAGTCCCTCACCATGGCGTACGTTTGCGGGCGCACGTTGCTCCTTTTGAATGGAAATGTCCTTGCCCTTCTCACCCACCACAAGGAAATTAGATACATTATCATCGAAAAAGTGACGGGAACGCAACAAGAAAGTGACGGGCATGTGACGGGGACATGACCGGGGATGCGTCGGGAAAGTGACGGGGATGTGTGACGGAGATGTGACGGGGAAGTAGAGGGGGAAGTGAGGAGGAAATGACAAGAAAGTGACGGGCAGTGACGGGAAAAGTTACGGGGAAGTGATGGGAACGTGACGGGGAAGCGACAGGGAAAGCGACGGGGAGGTGAGGAGAAAGTGACGGGGAAGTGATGGGATGCAACCAAACCGCACAGCGCCCTAAAACCCACCCAAAATACGAAACCAAACAGACCTGCCTTAGACCAACTTCACATCCACTCTAAGCCCACCCTGAACCAACCCTAAACCGACCCTAAACCAACCCTAAGCCCGCCCTAAACCTACCCAGATCCAGCCCTCACACGGCCGTAAGTGAAACCAAAACCCAGCAAAAGACGACACCTAACCAACCCACACTCATCTCAAACCCTAAACCCTCAACCAACCCTACAACAAGCCCTAAACAAACCCTAAAACCAATCCAGCTCAAGCCCTAAAATGACCCTACAAGCGAAAGCGAAGCCGACCAAAAACGCGGGTAACCGACCCAGACTCACCCCCAAGCCACCCTAAACCAACCTCAAACCAACCCTACAAATCCTAAGGCAAGCCTAAATCAACCCTGAACCAATCCTAAATCCACCCTAAACCAACCCCAAGCCGACCCACACTTACCCCAAAGCCAAACCAACCCTAAACCAACCCTAAACAAACCCTTAAATCCACCCCGGGGGACTTCCCAAAGCCTTCCAACCCGCCCTAAACCAACCCTGAATTCGCTATAAATTAACCCTAAATTAACCTTAAACCAAAAACAACCTTAAAACGAGCCCTAAACAAACGTAAGACAAGCCCAAATCCTAGCCCCTAAAACGCTAAACAAAACCGAAACCCACCCAAAGATGACACAAAACCCACACCGGCCCAAGACGAACCCTGAATCCACCCGAAACTAAACCCAACCAACCTAGATCCACCCTAAATCAACCCTAAACCACCCTACATCAACCCTAAAGCAAAACCTAAAGCAACCCTGAATGAACCCTCAACCAACCCTAAAACCAACGCACGTCCAGCCCTCAAACGTCCCTAAACCAACCCTAAAACCAGCCCTAAAACAAACCCAAAAACTCAAGCGAAATCGAAACCCATCCAAAGACGACGCCTAACTGCCCAAAGACGACGCCTAACCGACACACAAACCCACCCGAAATCCACTCTAAACCAACCCTAAAACCAGCCCTAAACCAACCCTAAACCAACCCTAAATCAACCCTAAACCAACCCTGCAACCAGCTTTCAACCAACCCTAAAACCAATCCAGATCAAGCCCTTAATCGGCCCTAAGCGAAACCGAAACCCACCCAAAGTCGACACCCAACCGACCCACACTCACCCCAAACCCACCCTAAATCCACCCTAAACTAAACCACCCTAAGCCAACCCAAATAAAAACCAGACCTAAACCAACCCCAAAAACGACCTGAAGCGAAATCGAAACCTACCCAAACCCATCCTAAATCCTCCCTAAACCCAACCCTAAACAACCCTAAGCCAACCCTAAACCGGACCTTCACCAAACCGCAGCCCACCCTAAACCCACCCAAAGACGAACCCAATCTGACACACACCCACTCTAGACTAACCCTAAATCCACCCTAAACTAACCCTAAACCCGCCCTAAACCAACCCTGAAGTCGCCCTGAACCAACCCGAAACGAACCCTAAACCAACCCAGATCCAACCCTAAAACGGCCCTAAGCGAAACCGAAACCTACCCAAAGTCGACACCTAACTGACCCACACTCACCCCAAACCCACCCCAAAACCAGCCCTAAAAAACCCTAAACCACCCTAGATCAACCCTAATGTATCTCGCCGCTGAATCCTGGTTTTGGAATCAGAATTTAATCAATAACATGCGCCTTCTTGAGGGCTCCCTCCCCAAGCACGTTAGTAGGCAGGGTTGGCGATTGCCACACTGAGGCCTGTGCCGCCTTCGCCGCCAGCCGTGTTCTGTAGTGAAGCATCTCTTCAGCCTCATCGGCAAGGTTGAGCAGCACCAGCAGGAAAATCAAAAAGACCTGGGCGGGGTTGACAATAAGCAGGAAACTGCGCATTTGTCAGAATCTCAGAACAAGCAAGCTGCACGCTCTCGGAGACACGCTTTTATGGGGAAGCAACATGAACAGTTGGGAGTTCTGGTATGGCATCAAACCAACCAAATCTTTTCCAGCCACTCTGATTCGACGATGGGTCGAAGCTGTTCCAACTCCACAGGACTCCACAAGCCAGTTTTTTCACTTGGCCGGCAAACACAATAACTCAGCCGGTCCTGTTGCGCGCGGACTCAATTTCCAGCCAGGCGGCGCAGCGCTTCAGTGCGCTGACACCGTTCTCGTAGTGCATACGATGGGCCACCGCAGCGACCAACAGCTGCCCCACAATCTGCACCTGCCCGACACTGAGTCAGGGCATGTTTCAGATACTGGGATCCCAAAAAAAACATGCTTTAGTTCCAGTTCAAACAAGAGCGCCTTCGAAAAGAGACACACCCGTTCAGAGCCGTTGCAAGGGAGCCATGGCGGGAATACGACCCTTGACTTGCGATTAGCAGTCACTTCGGCCGCCAACGCCAACACGTTCATCAACAAACTAGGCGGGCAATTCTCAAACAAAGTAGAAGCAACTCACTAGTCTGGCCATCTCATGTAGCGCAAATTGTGCAAACCAAAACGCATGTGTCCAAAACCTCCTTGCAAAAACCAAGGAGGAATATTGAATGGATCCAATGCTTTGCAAGGAGCACCCGAATCTAACAAGAGACCAACACATGCAAGCAAGACTTTGGGTCCATTGAGGTCAACTCGGTTTGTCCATCAGTGTCTGTCTGCCTTGGTTGAGATAAAGGTCCGTTTGTCCCACAAAGGACCCCTGACATGGGTGACCCGTTTGGTTTCCCTGAGCAGACAAAACCATCCACAATGGGTTATGCCGACTCAACAAAAACAGACGCAAAGGCATGCTCCAAAAAGAACCCCCCCGACAACAATACTGGAAAAACAAACAAAACACGCGGCACGGACATCACTCGGGGCGAGACCTCGCCCCATGAAATCTGAGCATCCCCTATGACAGGGCTCCCTGGGAACGAAAAAATATGCTACGTAATGTCTTAGCGGCTCCCCCTGCCCAAAGTTCCCTGCCCAAAGTTTGCTGGTTCGTGGTTGAAAACGCATCCTTGCAACCAAAGGGTTTCAAACTGAGGGTTTTACCAAATAGCTGCAAAGTTATTAAACAATGGTTATTAGTTTTATGTTGGTCTCCTTTTGAAACGCGCTGAAAAGGGTTATGCTCACAAGTTGGGATAATCAAGCGCCTTCCAGATGGTCATTGCGCCCTTGTCTGAGACCGGGGGTCGCTTGTGCAAGGCCCGCATCGCGGCCATGAAGACCAGCATCAAGGCGAGGCCTGCGGCATCCGAAAAGTTTAGGCAGCCAAGAAATTTGTCTTCAACGGTGGCACAAGCCCACAGCCCTGATACTGATTTGCAGCAGGGGACCCGAAAATGCAAAGGGCCCCACTCACTAGCTTGATGCCAGTAATCACCAACCATTGGGTGGCTACGGCTTCTTGGGTTGCTATGTCTACAATTGAATTGTTGGCTCCGAATCACTATCCGCGGGTTGGAGCACGCAAATGCTGGAGCTCCAGTCCTTGCATAAGGTTGTCAGCGGCCCAGTGTTGCATGTCCGCGTTCTCGTCAGAAGTCTGGCGCAGCTTCATGCAGCTTCTATGTCTCTCATATCTCTCAACCCTTGCACCCTCGCATTTCAGAGTTCCCTCTGTTCCCCCTCCGAACACCCTGCCAAAAGGAACTCACCTGCATGTGATCCTGAGTTTGAGATACAAGCTCGTGGCCTGATCCAAGCTTAGTCGTTCGGCCGATTGCCGGAGACACCTATTCTGACAACGGCTGCTCTCTCAACTCTAACAGCTCCGAGCACGTTCTGCCCGGCCTGCAGCTCCATTTGCAAGATCTTATTGCAACCTGACATTGAAGTCGACTCGGGTCGAGCAACCGCGCGCTAAGGAGAACTGTGCTCTATACCTACACTTACAAGGCAACTGTCTGCGGCTCGCCGTTGCCTGCGCAAGTCAACCGGGCATTCATCTGACACATGTTGTCACAATTCATCAGTATCCCTGTCAAAGGATGCGCAGGCCCTGCCTGAGGCCATCATCATTACCTCAGGCTCCATCTCTGCAGGCAAGCTTGGGCCCCCAAGTCTGTCTGCTTCCGGGATGTTGACAAGATTGCCCACATTGCTGCCACTGAACATGGTGCCCTAAAATTCGGACCGCAACACACATTGACACAGCAAGCTGGACCTTTGCAAGAGGGGCTGCTTGCCAGAGTTCTTCCAGAAACCTGACATGACCCCAACTTGCCTGGCCATTTGAAACGAGCCAGTCACCCGTTTCAAGCGAGCGTCGCCAGCCATTGCAAGTGGCACACAGCTCAAAAATATCGTTGGCCGCCATGGCGTCGTGACGCACCTCACCGCGTGCCAGTTGGTGTCCTCGGATCGGAGGTCACCGTTGGCACGATGCTTCGAGCTTGGTTTGCCTCTAAAAACGACCAGCCAAAGCGGTCGGGGCTTTTGGATGCCAAATAATGGCCAAATGGGGCCGCAAGGCCTGGGCTGTAGGGACCCTAAGAGGCCTAAGAGGGCGCAAAGCAGCCCTAACCGGCCTTAACGCTCATGAAGAAATATATTTGCCATACACCGTGCACACTGCACGAAAGCCTCTTGCGTGGCATCTTGCCGGATGAGTTTGAGGTTCCAGAAACTAACTGGCAAGCTGCTTCAACGTGGTTGTCAAACATCAGCGTCTTCACGAGAAAGACCAGCCTGAATCAATTGCCACGGGTGTGTCTCAAGATGGGGCAAGAAATCGCATGAACTCAGTTCTTCCTAGAAGTAGAACAAACGCCAATGTGTCCGATGTCTACACAAAAGGAATAAAAGGGCAGCTTACATCGTGTGCTTAACCGTTGGCCAAAGGCAACTTGTTGCTACCTGATCGGCGCTGCCATCCGCATGCTTGGGCTCAGGGCACAAGTTTTAGAGGGTGCTTCAACTATGGAGGCATATCTCTGAGAAAGCAAAAACAATACCCTGAAAATGTTGTCTGCTGCTCAAAGCACAAACCATTTTATGGCTTACAAGGTTGCAAAAGGGCTACAAGGGCACCCGATGGGTGCTCTTGGCGCCCTTCAAACGGAGAACACAACAGTTGCTGGCTTGCATTCCCGGTTTTTTGCCAAGCAGCAGGAGTGACATGAGCAGCAGGCTGCCCATATGACCCTCCAAACGGCCTGCCCAAAGCAGGCGGAGAGAATTGAAACTGGATGGTGCTCTCTTTTGTGTTGCCTAATCAAAGGAATTTATAAGGCTTGCATGAGGAAATCGGGCCGGCTATTTGTGCGTGGCGGTTTGGACAGGCGCAAAGCCTCTCTCTCTCACACACACACACATACGAGCACGGCCAGCCTGGGCCAACGCTTTTGGAGATGCTTTTGATCAGAAGGGCCTTGATTGGCATTCGTAGCCTCTCAAAAACAAGACTCAATTTGAATGCCCTGCATTGGACCATTTTAAAGCGACCCTGTTCATAGGGAATCTGCTTGCCTGTCTTTCTTATCGAGTTTGAGGGACAGAGCTTGCTTGTCGTAATGACATGGGAACCGTTTACATTTCAGTAGGAGCCCCTTGACTCTTTGAAATCAAGCCTCGAACAAATTTCCGAGGGGCCAGGGATGCAATCATCATCGACTGGCTGCGGCCTCAGCTGCGCCCAACAAAAGGGAACCTTTCAACCCTACCAGATTTGCAGGGAATATCAACAGAGCGCGTGCTCCCAGGGGGTCAACTTCGAAGACATAAGTCTTGACACGAGCCCGCGCAATGTTTGCGCGATTGTACACTTGACAAGCTGAGCTACACCAATAGTTGGTTGATACTTCCTGCAACTTCACATCGATGGGAACTAGCTCAAGCTGAGGTCCAGTGCAATTTGTATGAAATCGGCGATTTCAACTGGATTTGCAATCATTTCCTCCGGTCAAAAAGCCCGGTAAAACGATATATAGGAAACACCGCCATTTAGTGATGTTCATAAAATCCTATCATTTGCATCCCGAGATACTTCAGCTTGTTTTTGGTTCTGTGAATAATTTCCCCAAACATATCGCCCGTCTATGCATGGGCTTCGCCCATGCAAGACTGGGCTCTTTTAAGGATCGCAATCCTGAACATCGCATGCTTGCAGGGCAAGCATACCTATGCAAATGTTGAATATGCATATGATGCAGGTGTGCCTAAGTTGCACAAGTCAATTCAGTGTACAAGACGGTGATCTTGTGAAATCTGTGTCGCGCGCTAAAATACACTGAAATGCGAAATTATTGGGAACAAAATGTTGGTGCTTAGAGTAATTTGGCAGTAACCCTCAGCGTGTGATTTTTGTAATTTTGTGTGCTTTGGCCTTTGACAGATGTTTGGAGGCTGCAAGCCTCCAATCGGGAACTCTGCGCGTGGATGATGTGCTTGGGCACATGTCTGTGCTTGGGCACATGCCTCACTCAACAAGACAAAACGCTTTCTCAAATCGCGTCCTCTATGTGAGCATCCGAGGGGGGGGATACCCTGACAACACTGGTTGTGTTGTCCCCCCGGATAGAGTGCGGGAATTCAAATATCCGTGATCGAACCGCAAGCTCGATCTTTTATGTCTATGCTAGCTATGATCCGCAATCAAGGTTGGGGATCTAAGCTAACAGTTGAACCTTGAGCCAAACGGTTGCCTGGGTGTATGATAGTGTGATTCACATCGCCCTTATCCTGTTCACACCCCCCACACAGTATGCATCATTCTGAGACAACTGCGCAGAAACGCTGAAATTGTGGCTTAAACATTTCATCTAGGGTCCACTCCAATGTAAACACGCACACCCAAATCCGTCGGCTCTCGATTGTTTGTTCTACAAAATCTCGCGTCGTGAAACGCCCGATCTTCACTGCTATTCTGCAGCGGTTGAATTAGTGCGGAATCTGGACCGACCTAGTGAGAAAAGTAGCACTGGGTACTAACGTTCTGTTGAACGGTAACGTCCTCCCCGTTAACGTGCCCAAATCTCGGCAAGGACATTTGTGTCGGAAATGCCCGGAAAGATGGGCGAAATCATGACACATCCACATTGGAAGGCAGAATGCCATCGGCGGCCCCGTATCTCAGAGCAAACACATCGGCACTGCCGAACCCGGTTGTCGGTGCAGAAGAGTGGCGCAGCAGCTCCTCGGTCCTCGCCCACTCAGCCTCGAGAGGCCTGGCCGGTCCGCACCTTAACCTTGGGATCACAGAAAGAAAGATCCCCCTCATCGGCGTGCCCTCTGTGAAAGATGAGCATAGCAAGGGTCCCCCCTTGTCAGGTCGAAATAGAGCAATTGCTCGAATGAGTCCATTTTGCCGCTTGTCCAAATATATGTTTTGAAGTTGGAATAGTTTGTTCGGAAAACAATAGGAATATGCAAAGGGACATAATACGCAATAGTACTCTCGGGTCGTTGTGGTACTCTCGGGTCGTTAAACGATCCCGATTTCCCTACACAGTTGCACTGCGTGGAATTAGGCTGATAAATTGATCACCAGCACTCATCCCATCCACTGTGGTAACCATACCAGTATGTATCACGCACGCCAGTGCGGCCCCGCACATCCCATCTCCAAGGAGGCGCAAGGCCTTTCCCCTTGATGTCTGCGTTTCCCCTTCTGCTTACCCTTGTCACCCTTTCCCTTCCCTTTGTTCGGCGGTCCGGCTGAGGGTGCGTCATCACGGTCAGCTGGGCTAATGGATCGGGGTTTCCCAGACCGTTCGCCTTTTTCCGTTCTGCCGATGAGGGTCGAAGCACCCTTGGGGAATTCGATCCTTCTCCGCGTTGGGAAGCCTTCGGTTCGGCCTGATCAACCCGTCCCTTCTTCTTCTTCTGCTTTTCTCCATAGTTGGGTTGAATCGTAACCTCACCGTCGGCCAACTTGATCCGGGTCTGAATTGTCACTCCCCCCCCCTTTCAATCTGTTGTAGTTCTCCCACTGGGTCCGAAGAACCGGGCTGAACTTCATTCCGTGGTAGTTCATCAACAGGAGATCCTGGGTAGTAGTCTTGTCGCCCATCGCCGCGCACATCCAGTCGAAAGGAATGTACTTGGCGCCCTTCATACCATCAAGGATTGATTGGAAGAACGAATATGTCTCCACATTGAAGCTAGTCCCGATCACAATGTTGAATACATCAAACAACTGGTCCAACGCGTTGTTTCTCGACGCACGCATTTCGGGAGTCTTGTACGTTTTGATGGCAGCGTCCTTCAGGTCCCTGAGGTTCTTCCACAGATAATCTCTCGAACATCTCCACCAATATAGGATGGAGGCCAAGGCTGAACAGTCCCATTAGAACCCCCCCCCCCCCCGATTCTACAATTGGGCCACACCTGGACACCGCGAGGTTCGCAACCTTGAGGCTGTGATGCAATGGCTCTCGGGGCCTTCTTCTGCGGGGTTTTCGAAGCAAGTCCTGTCGCGCCTACAGATGGAGGATCCTGCTTCCTTTGCCCCTTTCCCCCCCTTGGCGGGTTTCTCCTCCTTCTTTCCGCCGCCGCCGTCTGATGATGAGGATGCCTTCTTACTGTCATCGAAGGCTTCTCTCCCTCCGCAATATCCTTCAGCAACCGAACCATCGTCTTTGCTTCCGGATACAGTCAACGAGCTTGTGATCGCTCGTGTGGCATATGGGACAGTCTTCGGTATATAGGCAAGATGCCGTCAGCACACTCAGCAAGCTTCCGCTTCCTGGGCGTCAGCGCCGTCGGCTCCGTTTCCATCTCAACGTCCTTGTCACCGCTTGTTTTGTCAGAGTTGTCCCTCTCCAGGGACGGTTGATCATCCCCGCCCTTCTGGTCACCCTCATGGGGTTCAGGCGATGCGCCGTAGTCGAGGACAAGCCCGTCAGCCTCTTCCGGCACGTCATTGACGAGCATGTTGAATGCCTCGCTCTCGACGTGTTGTTTGCAGAGCGAGCCACAGTAAATTCCTCCCTCATCATTTTTCCGATACAAAATTGAAACACGGGCTCCGGCAACTTTGCAAACCATTCCATTACCCCAGCGTCCTGACCTCTGAAGGAAAATGGTCTTGATTTCGTATCCTTCCAATTGCTAGGGGGTAGGCTGCGCCAATAATCCTGCCCGTACATGAGGAGGGAATGTTCGAGTCCGTGAAGGGTGGCGTCAGTAGGTGACACGTCGACGCCAGAGCAAAACACCAGTAACACGGAGGTAACCCAGCCGCCAGCAGGCAAGTGCCCTGATCGATTACATAGAGATTGTTCCTTTCAACCAAGGAATTATTCATGGGTCTGCCGGGTAGCGAGTGGTCAATCGTGATCCCCAGCTGTTGACAAGCACTGACAAACTGAGGTGCGTAATCTCCGTACGCGACCCGAATCTTTCGTCTCCCCATGAACTCCTTCATGCATCTGACAACCTCGTCCGCGGAACTGTCCGTAGTAGGATACGCCATCCTCACTCCACGAAAACATTGGTATCCGTCTCGATTCCCAACTGTCCTACCCTCTCTGGAGTCAGGAAATCGAACGTCACAAGATCCCCCCACTTCTTAAGCTGTTGCTTGAACGCACCCTTCTTGGTCTTGAAACGCCGCATCTTGGCTCTGACACACGCATCACAATAAGGTTGGCAAACCTCGGGGTAACCATGTGTTCCAACGCGATTGCCCGATTTCACCACCATGGCTATAGCATGGGGTTTCCCTCACGCATTCAAAATCACCGATTACAGGTCCGTCCCCTTTCTTCCTGGCGCTATCCACGTAGTCGATCTTCACCTATGAGAACCAACTCCATTGTGTAGTCATCGGAAGGAGGTACTCTGATAGACGTCTGCGAATCACGAATGTGGTTACACAATTCTCCAGCCTTCGCAGCTCTAATCGCAGCGGTTATGCTTTCTTGGTACTGATCTTCCTTTGCGTGCTCAGCGCTGACCCCTTTCTTTCCATGATCATCGATCGCTGCGATATCTTTCAGGAAACTCCCCTTTTTCCTGGGGTACTAAAGCTTGGCCCTCAGGGTTGCGGGTGCGCATTCGGTCTCAGCATCGCTATCCACAATATCCTCCTCACTACAGGTTGGCTCTGCTTCGCTCTGTGGATATCACCGGCGCTGCCTTTGCCTTCTTCTTCTTTTTCTTCTTTTCAGATCCCGCTTCGCACAGTGTCGGAACCCTTTTCAGCCGCTGCTGAGCTCTTCGGGTGCTTGAACTTGCAGTCCTTCCCCTGCTTACAGGTCCCTTTCTTCCAGAATGAACAGATGCCATCGTTCTTGGGACGCTCCCCTGCTGGGGAATGCTACGCTTGGAACCTTCCTCGAACTTCTTCTTCCACTCGGGTGTGTCGGTACTCTTCTGGTGGCTGCACTTGCAATCAGAACCGTTCGTGCGTTTTCCACGGAAGAAATGAAACTCGTTGCTTGAAATCACCCATTTTCTTGTCTCCTGGATAGGTCAACTTGTACGAATGTTCTACCTTTCCCGCTTTGATCAGCTTGGCGATTAGCAACCTCGCTTGCCTGATCTCCAGCGGATTTGATCATTTTACCCACGCTTCTCACCAATTTGCTGTCGGCACCAGCGAATCTCGAACCGCCGCTGTCGAAAGAGCCTCAATAGTGGCGCTAGGGCCGACCAAACTTCGCTCTTGTTTGAGTGGACC